GGGAAGACTGTCCCCAAAATAATTTTTTTTTTTTTTTTTGGTACAGGGGATCAAATTCAGGACCTTGTGCTTTTGAGGCAGGCTCAGCATCACTGAGCTAAATTCCATGTCCTAAGCTAGCTAGCTTTTATGTCACTGGTGTCTAAGTCACTTTACGTGTATTACATCTTCACAGATGTATCTTCCACAATGCCATATATAGACTGAGTGTACTCTTCCTAATGTAGGACTGTTACTGAAAAATGTTATAGCGACGGTTGGCTCCATATCTTATCTTTCTACTATGAGGAACAATTTGAGTAATGCAGTCATTACTTTTGACACTTAGTATCATAACAAAAGATTATAACATTTGCCTTTCCCCTCTACATGTGTTATTAAACAGTAGCCTAGTACTTCGGTGCATGTTGAGTATCCCTGATCCACAACGGCTAAGGACCAGAATGTTTCAGATTTAAGAATTTTTGGAGTTTTGGGATATTTCTGTAAACTTCATTGATTAAACATCCCTACTCCACAAATCTGAAATGCTCCGAAATCTGAAACTTTTTTTTTTTGCAGTGCTAGAGATTCAGCCTAGTAGCTTACACATGCTAGGTGAGCACTATACAACTGAGGTATATTCCTTTTTTTCCTTTTAATTTTTATTTTGAGACAGGGTCTCCTGATGAAATCCTCCTGTCTCTTAAGAAGCTGGTATTACAGGCATATGCCAGCATGCCTAGCTGAAACCTCAGAATATTTTGAATGTCATGTGCATGTTGATAAGGTTTCAAATTTTGCACTCAAGAGGCTAAGGCAGCAGGATTGCAAGTTTTGGGTGACACAGACTTAATGAAACCCTGTTTCACAATTTTTTAAAAAATTTAAAAGGCTAGGGATAATGTTCAGTTCAAAGGTCTTCAGTGAAATCTTCAGTCCCACACACCAAAAACAAAGTTTCAGATTTTATAGCACTTCAGATTTAACATTTATTCACTGAATTCACATTGAGTGCTAATGCTATACCAGGTGCTATACTGTGTATTGGAAAAAACATAGTGAACAAGGTGGACATAGTCACGGTCATGAAGGAGTAAGTTATTGATTATATGGTGTTAAACTGAGACAGGGCCGGGGATATAGCTCAGTGGCGCCTCACCTGCCTGGCAAACTCAAGGTCCTGAGTTCAATCCCCTGAATCTGGGGTTGAGAACCACTAAACTAAGGTAATATATGCCACCAAAGTTCTAAAAAACTGTTATTGCATGTGCCATGGAAGATACATGTTCTATATTCAGAAACAGATTCATATGAGAAGTTACACCAGAGTTCTATGATGTTAAAATGAATGTGAATTGATATAAAGGTTTATTTATAAAATTATTAAAATTAATTTGTTACATAGTCTATTCAAAATCATCCCTGCACAGTTCTGAACTGTTTGTGCTTGCTTTTGTGTCTGTCTTCCGTTTATTTGGACATATTCATGCTTCTAAAGAGAATTGGTACATAGATGACTTCATGTAAAGGTTTATAATTCTTTTACTTTTTTTATAATATAAATATTATTTCCAAGTTGCTTGAGCTAATGATTTTCTTTCAGAGTTTGAACTGATGCATGTAGATGAATTTATTGATGAACTGCTACACAGTGAGAGAGTATGTGATATCATTCTGCCCCGGCTACAGGTAAGAGGCAAAGGATTGTTATGGGAGTTGCCTGTCTTCAAGATAGGCAGACAGACAAACACAAATCCATATTGTAACACTCAAGGCCTGGATCATAGGGGTCCTCTTGGTAAGCAGTCTTCATATATGTGAAAAAGAGGATAGGGAATGAGAAGAAACTGAAGTATTTCAGTGGTGGAGCTTTAAAAGTAACTAGTTTACACAGGAGAGTTTATCTTTAGGATGTTATATTAAGGAGATTTTAGCTAGAGTAGTAGTTTTTAAACTTTGTGAGCAGCTTTTTTTTCATATAGGTCACATAAAGCCAGGCTGTTTAACAGAAGGAAGACTCGGAGTGAGGAACTGGGTCCTTGCTTCCTAAAACTACACTTTTACCAGCATCCTTCCTGTGAGGTGATTGTCCCTGATGCACCTTTTCAGATTATGCTTTATGATTTAAAAACTACTGTTGGGAAATAGAGTCAGTGGGCAGCTTAAAGAGAAAGAGAATGGGTTACAGTGGGGAGAAAACAAAATAAGAAATTAGCAAAACTTAAGTTGTAGGACCTGGTCCTAGTTTCCCCTCTACAAAAATGAGATCAGACTAAACAAATGATCATTTTAAAATTTTGTTATTAATGTTAATTTTTTTAAACCATTAACTGAAGTACCTTATTTGTTTATTTGTTTGTCCTTTATGGATAAAGTTTATGCACAATGAAATATATAAATCTTAGGCACATTCTTGAGTTTTGACAAATGCTATAAACGCTAAATCTTTTTAAATTTTTTAAATTAATACAATTTTTTATTAGTACATTTGCAGTACTAAAGATCACATCCATTGTGGGAAGTTAGTATATGAACATAACAAATGTTAATTCTTTTTTTAATCCCCTACCCCTCCTCTCCTTCCTATCTCCCTCCATCTCTTGGTCCCCTTCCCTTTTACGAAATTTCTATTTCCCTGTGCTAAATGCTTTTTAAACTGCCCTGTAGGTCTGTTTTAAGGGTACTGAAAGGAGCAAGTAGGGACAGCCCCACATGTTCCAACCCTAGTAGCTCCTTTTTGTTTTAGATTATATATTGGGCTTGAGCAAGAAGACTTCCTGTCTTTTAAATGCCTTTCTTGCAGTTTAATTTATGCACACACACACCTCTTTGAAATCATTACTACGATCAAAATAGTGAATCCCCTCTCCCTAACCCTCTCCTTTTCCCTAAGCAACCAGCAGTATGCTGTCACAGCAGATTAATTCCCATTTTAGAGTTATGTACTACATATTCATTTCTGCTTGTCCTTCATTGGCATAATTATCTTGAGATCCATGTTGCTGCATGTATCAGTGATTTGTTACATTTTGTTGCTTAGTATACCATTGTAAAAGTATACCATAGCTGGGAAACTTTTATCTATTTATGCATTATTTTAGAATACCAAGTCAGTACACAAAAATCCATTGTATTTCTTTACACTAGGAATGAACAATAGGAATTTGAAACTTTTTTTTTTTTTGATACCGGGGATTGAACTCTGGTCCTTGTTCTTGCAAGGCAGGCGCCAAACCACTGAGCTAAATCTCCAGCCCATGGAATTTGAAACTTAAAAAAAAAAAGGGTACTATTTACAACAGCATCATAAAATATAAGGGAAATAGTGTTAAGATGAGCAAAACAAAAAAGAAAAAAGATAAGATTCATACACTTAAAACATAGCATTACCAAGAGACTACAGATCTAAATAGATGTCCATGAGCTGTGGATTTAGCACAGTGGTTCCACCACCTGCCACACAGGCGCAAGGTCCTGGGTTCAATCCCCAGTACCAAAAAATAAATAGATGTCCTGATGCTGCTTGACATCTGATGGGGTTATGTCCTAGTCAGCCCTTCCTATTGAAAATGTGTTTGCTTTACCTAGCCTACCAAATAACACAGCTTATTTTGAATTATGCTCAGAACATTTATGTTGGCCTGCAGTTGACAAGAATCATCTAACACCATCTATTTTATATGAAAATCTTGACTGTCTCATATAATGTATTGGATGCCTGTATCTAGAGAATGTTGCCAACATGGTATACTGTCGAGTACAGCTTGTCTACTCTTGTGATCACATGGCTGACTAGGAACTTTGATTCACTGCCACTGACTAGCGTAGAGAGATTTTTTTGGTTGTTTTTTGTTTTTGTTTTTGAGACAAGGTCTCACTATGTTCTTTAGGCTGGCCTCAAACGTGAGGCAGTCCTGGGAGTATAGTCATGTGCCACAAGGCCCTGCTCCTAAGGCTTTCCTTAAAGCTGTAATAACCAACGCATCATTGAATTGTCATAAGGACAGTCAAATGGATCAATGGGATAAAATTAAGGGACTGGTAGTAAGCCCTGCATACATGGACAGTTGATTTTCTACAGACATGTGAGGGTAAGCCCTGCTATTAAAAAATGATAAACTTTCCCACAAATGGTGCTAGAAAAATTAAAATAACCATAGGCATACAAATGAATTTACCTTTCCCTCACGCCATATATAAAAATTAACTTGACAGAGATCAAAAACTAAAAACAAAACTAAAATAGCAGGTACTTTATGTTTTTTAAATATTTTTGTAATAGAATACAAAAAACATGACTTAAAAAAATAAATTTGCCTTTATAAAATGTAATACTGTTGCTTTTCTAAAGACCGTTCCAAATAAAAAACAAGCCATACTCTGAAAAAAAAAATCTATGTGCACAACAGATGCAACAAAGATCTTAAATTTCAAATATATGAAGAAATTGCTTGAACTTAATAACAAGACAACACAGTGGGAAAATAAGCAGAAGATTCTTTTGGATTATTTACATTGATTTTACTAGTTGAGAACACCTAACCAGAGAATTTTAAATGTTCCAAATCTGAAACTTCTTGAGTGTCATATTGGCATTCAGAAAGTTTTAGGTCTTATTTGTAACTGCTTTATTTGTAATGACCAAAAACTGTAAACAGTCCAAATAGCCATCAGCAAATGACAAATTGTGGTGTAGTCATACCACACTGGGATGCTTCTCATCAGTAAAAATGAACTGTACAGTAACTTGCATCAATTTTAGAATCAACAGTGAAAAAGAATATTTGTATAAAATTTTAGTAAATGTAAACTATAATAACAAAAATTAGATCAATGGTTGCCTGGGTATAGAATGAAGGAGTGGGGGAGAAAGCAATGAGAAGAAAGGAGATATAAGCAAACTTTTGGGGAAGAGGATATATTTATGTTTATGCAGTAATGGTCTGACAGTTGTACACGATACAAGCCAGCACATAAAATTATATACAGTGCCTTAAAAATGTGTGGCTAATTGTCAGTTACACCTCAGTTTCAAAACTTGTGAGAATCATTGAGATAAATGCAGACTACAGGTCTCTGACTCTTCCAACTATACTATTCTCTGATTCCCTGTCTGCATTGCAGTAGATATGAGCATTCCATCCTAGGGGCAGTAGAAATGAGCCGAGCCCAGGGAGTTTTGCTCAGGCAAACAAAGTTTTATTGGGAGGGTTTAACTTGTGGGAGTATAGTTGTGACGGAGAGAACATTCAGGCTCGCCTGTTAGAAAGAAAGGTGAAAGCTTTTTTATTTCAGGGGTGAGCTATGGCCCAGAAATTTTTCATTGGTCCTGGGTACAGTTTTGAAAAGTGTTTTTTTCTGTGCAGACATCTTGGCCTCAAGAAATAGGTCATCAGCTTATCACTAAAGCTGTTACATTCATGCCATCTGTGCCCCATTTTGGACAAACATCTTGGCCTTGTGATTAGGATGGGCCACTATAATTGCTAAGAGAAATCTATTGAGGAATGGGGTAGAAAGAAACACACATGCTTTTAACTGGTTAAGGGCCTGGGAGTTATTTTGCCTCTGTGTCTTTGTGATGATTCCCTAGAAGTTTCATTCTCTCATCTAGTTTATTCTTGGAGATCTTAATGGTGAAGGTATCTTGGCTTTAATGATGTACCTGCTTTTTTGAGGTTGATAAGACGGAGAGAGTGGGAAGGTAGAGGAAAACACTGCTTTCAAAAGGTAACAGTTCCTGAGTTAAGGCCCCTGGAATGCACTTGCCCTTTGTCCCTAGATTCATAATTTTTAGAATTCATAGCATTAACTAAAATGTCCGGATATAGTTTGTTGTTGGGGGATGGGGACAGTTTCTTACAAGTTTAAGTAATCACAGAAACCCCAACTAAATGGGCTTCTAGTTAAGCTTTCCTTTGAGATACTACCTAATGCTCAATAATTCTGAAACAATTTGTTTTATCACATCTCTGAGTTGCTTGATTCCCACTTAGAAACGAAAAGGGTTTTAAAAAATTTCTATTAGTACACATTTTCAGTACATAATTCTTACTCATGGAGAGTTAGTAAATGTGTATAACACATCTTAATTCCTTGTACCTCCCTTTTTCTTCCCCTCCCTTCATCTTGCTCCAAAAGGGATAATTTAAAAATCAGAGGTCACAAATTATACAAATGGGTGGCTTGTACCACTGATGATACAAATGGATCTAATCACTCCTCTCAGTCTTTTTACTAACAAAATTAATAAACAGCCACCCAGTGGGATAGTCTTATATGTATTCAAGCTGGCAGGAACATGTTAAAGTTGTGAATTGAAAGCAGATATCTGATAAAGGAGCAAAATGAATTTGCTTGAGGCAACCAACCATGTAGATTAATGTAATTCGTAGACAAGTGTTCATACTAAACTAACATATCAGCTTCCTCCACACTGACCTAGCTTTAAACCTGTAAGTCAGAAATCTAGAAAATGGATGTGGTATATCTTTCCTGTTCTGTATTGACTACTGTAGAGTATACAATGAAGAGAATGCAATTAAAATCTGAAAACCAGCTTTTAGAGCTCAGTTTTCACACTACCTCATGTGGGTTACACTAGCTATTATTATCTTTAGCTGTTGTTAGTTTTAGAAATACTGCAAAAAATATGAAAACTTCCATGTGCAATCAGGTTGCAGTTAACAGTTCCAAAGTCCAATGAGCTCTGAGCAAGCTTGCTGCTGTAATCAGTGTGGTCTACCTGTCGTATAGAAGGAAAGACCACAAAACAAGAATCTTTTAGTTTAGCAAGTCTTACTAAGGGGAGAGAAATTGAAATCTGACTGATAAATGTTATCATATCACCAAGAGGAATGTTATATCACCAAGAGATATGCTCTGGTATGGGCCTCCACATGTCCTTAGACTACCTTTTGTTGGACATGGTGGCACATGACTATAATCCAAGCATTCTGGGATACTGTGACAGGATGATCATGAGCTCAAGCCCAGCCTATACAACCTGTGAAAGACTGTAATCTGACTGATAAATGTTATCATATCACCAAGAGGAATGTTATATCACCAAGAGATATGCTCTGGTATGGGCCTCCACATGTCCTTAGACTACCTTTTGTTGGACATGGTGGCACATGACTATAATCCAAGCATTCTGGGATACTGTGACAGGATGATCATGAGCTCAAGCCCAGCCTATACAACCTGTGAAAGACTGTGT